CTTTTTTACGAATCTTTTTTAAATCCGTTTATATGCGTTTTCTCAAACCCCATCTTTCAAAGCTGCATGCACCTATTAAAAGTAAGCAGATTTTTAGAACTGTTGAACAAAAAAGAATATTTTGACCTTGTCTATTTGCAAGATTTCAGTTCCAGAAAATCAGTCTCCTTACAAGAAAAAGTTTATGCAAATTCCTTACCTAGCATAGAGATCGCGTCTTCTATACGGCGACAGTTAAAAATTTGACTTACTTACTTCTGATTTTCCATAATTAAAAGAAAGTATCTGTGTTTGAGGATTTGCACGCTGTTACAATTGACTTGCGTGATTCGCGAAAAGCCGCAAGCCTTCTCAATCAAATTTTGTTCTTCTCTCTACCATTGAAGATTGAAAGTAAAATACAATCAGGTGCTGAACGAGACTGATGCCCAAGATGTGCATTTGGAAGTTTTTATACATACATTGAATTTTACTGCATCTCTCAATATGAGTGTGTAGACCCCTTATCTCCAATTCTGTTTTTTGATGAAAGGCCACGGTAAAATTAGTTTTTACGTTTTTAGTAGCATTCAGTGACCCACTCATGGGAGCTGATATAATTGCTTGCACTTGATTAATCTGTTTCCAAATTTGTCTATTGCGCAACCTGCTCTTCTCGACAAGAGTATTCGAAAAGAATATAACTCGTAGCTCTTTAACCTGAAAATCATGAACTTGCATGATGTGTCAGTGAGATGCTCAAAAGTCTTTCTTTCCAGCTAAGCATATCTTTGCAATGGTTTATATGTTGTCCCAAATGCCTTTTTTTCAGTTCATGCTCTTTGTAATTACTATTTCAATGTTGAATGTTTTATTGTATTTACACATTGAATCCATTATGAATTATATCATATATCCCGTGTAGTGCCTAGTGAGAGACAGCTAACATTCACCGCGAATACGTCATGCGGTGTTCTCAACATGCGCCAATTCCCATCACCTCTGGGTCAAGTTGTGACAAGGTAAGGTACTTGCGAAACCCTGCCTCAACGACGGGTACATATTTACCCCCTTTTTTGTGGTTGAGGTAGTGGTAACAAAAATGATGAATCTCGGTGCATCTCTAAGGTAGGGGCGTGGCCGCATTTACCCTAGGTAAATTCAATGATGAATCCGGCCCCTGG